CCTCGTATTTAGGACTCCAACCCCTTATTCATAACCCATTAACGAGAGTGAGTGGTCCAATTTGAGTGGGTCAGCAAAGAGGGGATCAGTCCGTGTAACAATCGGATTGAGGATGGTGGAAGTAAGTGTAAAAGCAGTTTAAGTGGTCATAATGAACCCATTGGTTTTATATAATGGGAGGAAACTCGCAGCATTAAAAATGTCATTCGCCACCAGGGTCACATATGGATGGATGAACTGGTTGTGTGGACTTGGAGTGGGACTACATAGTAGCGGATGGGCTTATAAATATTAAAACGGTCTATGACTGTTTGTACGCTAAGCTTTATGGGGCAGCCCTGGAAGTTGGTCGTCAACTTTGGCCATTGTGTAAAATGTAGCGTCATCCGAGCGGGAAACGGTGACTTAGGTCGTGCTGAGGATAAGATGACAACGTTATTTTATGTGGCAATATCTCAAGCAGCGAAATGATTCGAATTGATGAGGGTCATTCGGAGAGAGAGAGAGCACTGGATGAGCCATAACAAAATACTCGATAATAATAATAACAGTCTCGCTGGGACGTCTAATAACGGGGACGAAGGAAAAGAGCAGATTGACGAGTGAAAAGTTATACCCACTGCTGCATCATTCTCATCACTGCATTCATGCCCCTGTTACCTTTGTGCCCCACGATTTCTGAGGTTGATTTTGTGGGTGACGAGGAGACCAGCAGGCAGCCCGATTTAATAAGATTTCCTCCACCAGCTCTGCCTCTGCTTTTGGGACTGGGCAAAACTTGTACAGAATTTGAGCGTGTGTGGGCATGTTGGAGAGAGTTGTGATTTGAGGGGAATGGTGTGTGATGCGGTTACATCACCTTCCGTTTGACGGGAAGAAACATCTCATGCTTGCCATTAAAAGCTGAGAAATCAAATAAAATGTGAGGCAATGACGTCTTGCCCAACTGCTGAGTGTGTAGCACTGCTCAAGTGCCACTCACTTTTCCGAGCAGTCATTCACCACAACAACTAAACTACTTTTACTCTCGAGTACCACCACCAAAGTCAGACCACCAAATCTGCTCCCACTTTCACAACAACAACAACAACAAGCTCCAAACAATTGTAACACGCTATCCATCCGTTTTATTTCACATTTTACAAGTGACTTTTATTGGAGCAAAAAGTGACAGAAAAAATGGTTTAACACACCGTGCCGTGCAGCGTGTGGTTTGGTTGGTGGCAATGTGGACAGATGCGACCAGGATGGAAAAACGGGATGATATCCATCACTCTCAGCAAAAGCAAGAACCAATCTTTCCCGAGAACCCATAAAAAGATGATATTAGATTTCATTTCAATATTGGATACAATATGTCGCTTTCTCTCCCCGGGCTTTCTCCTCCGTTGGAAGACCCAGATTTTGAAATGGGAAGGCGGAAAGGGTTTTTGGCAAACTTCTTCCCACGCCGCGACGCTGGTCTTTTTGCAACGGAAAGAAGAACAAGATCAAGACCAAATCTTTGAATTGCCACATGACTCGAAAGACATTGATCCCGTTGGGAAAATCAGGCGTCAAAAACTCCAACATTCAATTACAACTCAATTTAGCCAACTTTGTTCATAAAAGTCAGCCCGGATTTGGAATGAGTTAAGCATTTACTCTTATCAGACTGGTGGTTGGGAAAACTTGGTCTCTAAACATTCCCACATTTACCAGGCTTTCGAGCCCGTGTTCAATTTTCACTTGGAGCAGAGGGATGAATAAACCCAACAGGACAAGCATGTCCCAAAATTAAATGCTTTCAGTCCTCCTCCTCCCCGCGTTTGGTAGCATTTAGCATTTGCCTCACTCTGTTTCCGTTTCAATTCCGAGTGTGGGTGGCTCCCAGTTTTGGAAATTAGTTGTGGACTTAACTCGTTTGGGGCGTTTTTGCTTCACTACTTTATTGGCGTGTCGGGTTTTTGGACCTGGGGCCCTCACAATTTCTGCCCTTTCTGGAAAATTTGTGTGGTAAATCAAGCTGTAAATTGTTCCTTGGTAAGTATTGTGTTTTTGGGACTTTTTGTGCAAAGTTATAAGTTGTAAGTTCAACGCCCAACGTAACGTTCAAGGGCAGAATCTTCCTCCGAGTTCGTAAAAAGTAGAAAAGTTGAGTGCCACGTCCGCATTTGCTCACATTCCCCCCTTTTGTTTTATGTCGTCTCCAAGCTTCCTGTCCTACAAGGCGAACCGTCTCCGTCTCTCGTATACGGACAAACAGCCAGTGGCCGCGGAAGTGTGGGGACGGGACAGAGCGACAATGTCCCTAACGTTACTCAATCTCCCTATTATCTGTCCATGTTATACAAACCCCTCCTTTCTCTATCCTACAATGTTAACGTTTCTAGACGTCCCCACAGCTTCTGCAGCCACTGAACACACCCAGTTTCTCCTTTTGTTCCACTGCACTGCAACAGAAGAAGGAGATTGACATGCTCCCAGACTTTTATTTCACAAATAGTTGGACCGTTTGATTGGTCAGGACTTGTTGTTTTCTCGTCAAACTTATAAGAAAATAAGGACTTTTTTATTTCCTTGTCATAAAAGAGCCTGGCTCATAATATAAATGTGCTGCTGAGGAGGTACAATTTTTGTCTGCCTGCCCTCCAGCCATGCTCCATGGTCACTCTAATATATTTACACACAGGGAAATATTTTCTGGGCAGACCAAGGCTCGCGGAAGAATGAGCTGTCTGTCTATTCGAATTATCTCATAAATGCGCACGTGCTTTTTCGCTACAAAATTACATAATGAGACATGTCTCCGACTTGTGGCTTGTTTTGAAAACAAGGACAAGAACGGTTTTAAAGTTTCATAATTCATCTGCACAATTTTTACGTCACATCCTGACAAACATGCATGCAGCAGATAATCCCCCGGGGTTTGCTTCATGTTGTTGATACTCTTTCCTGTGCTAATGCCTCCCCAAAGCGTTTTCTGGCTTCTTTCTCAAAAATATTTATCCTCGTGGCCAGAGGAGGAAACAAAGAAGACCATGTTTACTGGAAATGTGTATTTGGATGTGGCAAATATTCCTCGTGCACCGGTATTCAAAGCAGTCGTGCCAAGCCAGAAGAGAGAGAGAAAGAAAGGAGTCAGGACCATGTACTCTCCGTTCTATAAAGCAAGACAGTTGGCTACCCGACTTGTTGTGCAGCACAAAGATTTTTCAGGCTATTTCAAGTGGGGTCAATTGATATCGCATGGCTACAACATGCTTCGTGGTGCAAGTAATTTAAATGCCTAGCCCATTTTGTTGTGCTGTACAAAAAAGCTGTCTCGCTGCATGGGAGGGAGAGTACGTATGAGGAGGAGAGAGCGAATAAGGGTCTCTGGGCAGAGTTAAGCTAACTAGTTTACCCTCAGTCTAACTCAGTTTAGGGAGATGAAAGGAGTCTGGATCATCTTTGAAATTTAGGAATTTGAAATCCTGACATGTTTCATGTGCACGCAGCGACTGAGGAGAGGCAGCAGAGAACAGAAGCTCTTTCTTCCCCTTCTAAATGCATTACTCTCATTTCCAACTATGCACCAAAAATTAGGATATTCTTTCTTTTATACGCAAAAAACGAGGGAAAGTTGCTGATTCGATTCACTTTCATTTTATCGCAGAAATAGTAAAATTGAGTAATTTGATTTGTGTCGCCTTCCTCGTTCGTCTTCTCCCCTAATAAAACATTGATGCAGTGGGAGATGTGTACGTAGGGAGGTTGTAGGTCAGCCCTCGTCGTGCCCCAGAATTATTCCATCTTAAATTTTAAATATCAGTCCCATTTCAACCCAACTGACACATTCCACCCCATTCAACCCAAATAGTCCCCGTTCTCCTTGTGAACCACTGAATTACTATCGCATAAAGTGGAGTCCTCGCATGAACCAGTTCCTCCAGCAGCATCAAAAGTGGAGTTGCCGAGATTTCATTTTATATGCCGACTCGTCCAACCAGCAGCCCTTGCCTCTCGCCGTCACGGAGATAGAGCAACTGCTGCTGCTCCTTCTAATCCTTCGCTGAGGAGAAAGTCAATAACTGGGATTTGGCAATGAAAAGATTTCCATTGTGGGGATTACTTGGAGAAAGCGTCGTATGAAAAATGCCGAAAATTCACAGCAGTCTTCCAGACATTGGGTGATAGAGTATGCATATAAATCACGTGACCTTGTGTCTAAAAAACATTAAGATGGTAATTGCTCTTTCCAGAAGATGATGTGGATTTCGGTCTGCAGCGCAGTGCATTATTTATGACGAGACAAGGATGGAGCAGATATTCAAATCCTTATCATGCATGCTCCCAAAGACTGGGCAAGTGGCCAGCAACAGCTAAAACTGAAAATAGTATCCAAGCCCAGAGGAGACATGCAGGTCCGATGATAAGAATAACTCTTGTCTCGTGATGAGTCTCATCCCCTCAGCCAAATCGCGTCGCAGCCCGTCTCATCCGCTCGTAGGAGAGAGAAAAAGCCGAAAAGTTCCTCCAGTCAGCAGCTCAGCCTTTGTGTTGACCAACAACAAGAGCTGCAGTGAGTGGAGTCTGATGGTTGGTGTGGCCGTGGGGGACGATGTAATTGACCAGAGATGCCCCTAAGTCTAAAATGATCACCGTCCGTCGTTAACCATCCGACGACGTCCAGTTTCATGGAAACACGAGGCCTCCCGCCGCGTCCGATTTTATTTTACGCACAAACATGAACCCAACGAACCGAAAAGCAGCCAGGGCAGGCACACAGTCCCAAAAACCCAATGCTTTATTGCCCTTTTATGACACGGTTGAAAAAAGTTTACAGAGTCTTTAGTGTGAGTAATAAAAGGAGAAATCTCGGTCACAAGGAATCATTTTTTAAGGATGCGCCCTTCTCCAGTATTCATAAAGACAAAAACTTGGAGATTGATCAGTGTGTGGTTATTTTGGTCACGTATGACTTGTTTTGTGCGGATGCATATGTACTGGATGTGATTGGATGTCTTATTTGTGCTTACCAACGACGTTGAGGTAGGTAAAAGCGGAAATGGGCGGGGTAGTGGAAATCTGACACTCGTAGATGCCCCCATCCACGGGCCGGCTGTCACTGATGCGGAGTCCCCAGGTGTACATGTGTTGAAATGGGCGAAATCTAGACGTTCATTACAACAGGTTAAATTTTTGTGTTAATGAACTATCCATCTAGGTCAATGGTCATTAATAGTGATTATAATTGATAATTGCATACCTGGACTCTGCTGTGTACGTCTCTGAGCCGGCGGAGAGCAAATGCGTGTCCCGATGTCTGAGCCACAAGACCTGAAAATCAGCGAAAAAGAAAGTGATTTTAACTGCATTGTACAATTTCTGAATATTATTTCCCATAAAATAAATCAGAAATAAGTTTACGAATACATTTTCATAAACATGAATACAGCACAAGTCGAGCGCATTAGGAGAAAACCCTAAATATTTTTGTGTCGTAAATATGGAGCGAAATATGCAGGGAGTGACTGCCAAAGAGTTTCTTGAAATATAATACAACGTGCGAATTTTTCATAAATATGCATAAGGCAAGTTTCTCCTCCAGCTTTCTCTCCGCGACTTGTGCCCAGTTCTTGTTGGGGACCATTTCGAGCGGACATTTTGTGTACACTGAACTCGAGAGTGGAAGTCCTTCTTCCTCGTCATTACTGGGACTCTGGAAGGAAAGCAATAACAACATGGGACTTGATAGGAGTGGCTGCCCGAGAGCTGGAAAAGAGTGTGAATGAGTCGAGTATAAAGTATAAAAAAATGAAAAGAAGCCCCGTAAAACTTTATGGTTTCCGTGTTCCAGCCACCCATTTCTATAAATGTTCGCAAAGGAGCCCACTCGCTGCTGCTGGGAGAGCACTAATACTTTGGGAGAATGTGGACTATGAAAGCAAATGGCAGTGTTAATCCGATTGTTCTAATGTTAGGAAAAAACCATGTCCAATGGGCTTTTAAATACATGGGAAAAGAATAACAAATCTTCCAGAGAGAAAGTTGTTGTTCACTTTCGAAATGTGGTGCGGGGCTTCCAAAATTGTGTGACTTTCGTCAAAATTTTGGCAAAAAATTGTCCTCTACATTAGGCAAGGAGGTGAAATTGTTTGTTGTGGAAATGTCCACACATAATATTCTGAAAGTGTTTACCCTTTGTCGAGGAGGTTTTGTTTGTGATTGTCGAGAGAGAGAGAGAGAGTCGTGTATGCAGAGGAGTGCGTTGTTGGGGGACGACGTAAAATACAAAGTTTCACGTTCTCTCAACCATGTCAGACTTTTTGCGAATTCATGCATACGAATTATTGCTTTCCTTTCTTTATAGATTTTATATTGAGAACCAAAAGTCTCGGATTTTAGCAACTTTCCCCGACTGGGCGTGGATTTTGCATGTTTTTTCTTGCTCTTACAACAAACTTTGTGTACTTTGCGACTTTATGTGGCACTGCTACAGTAGGAAAGCAAGTACCAAACAACAGCAATTGAAAAAGTATGCAAAGTATGGCAGCTTTTTGCACGACTTTCCGTTATCTCATTTTTTGCAAATGGGAATTTCATGATAAATGGTTTCTCCATACTTGCATGCGCTGACTGAGGGCGACGCAAACTCCAGTTCTCCAGTCTCCACACATACTCACACATAAACAAAAACACTCTGCTTCACCCAGCAGCATTATTACGTAGAGACAAAAATACTCAAGAAGGAAAAATTAATTTTGCTCCATGTACTTTTTTGTGCGTGGTGGTAATTTATACCATAAAATAAGTTTTGGTCTCACATCTCAATTACCAATTTTATTTTAACACTGCGTCCCACTTCCGCGACGACGGAATAAAATTCATCTCGTGTAGTATATAATATTCGTGTGTGCATACATATTGAAGGGGACGAGGAATATAAAATTCTGCGAATATCCCATTGAAACGAAACGCATCGGGGCGCCCAGTTGAGGGAGAAAGCTGAAGAAATTCTAAAACGATGCATATTTTACGAGTGATCATTTCATGGTCGCATCCATCTCCTCCACGCATATATCAAATTTAATTTTCCCTATAACTCGTAACTTGGTCCTTTTACTCACTCACTCAGCACCGCCGAGGAACAACTTAATCTTATGCGGTGGGTGTATACTGGTCGTGTTACTACTTGTTATGCATTCCAACCTGGTTCGGGGGAGAAGTACAATGGAACCCGAATTTCGCACAGACCTGGCGCTCACATCTGGCCGGATGATATTTCAGCGGCACTCGTTATACAGATTTATACGGGACGCTACCCCACATGCACACACATACACACGCTGCTCAATCCAGATAACTTCCGCACACGGAATTTCCCACTTTTTATGGACCTAAGTAAGTACGCTACGTACCCATGCCAAGGAAGAAAGAAAGAGAGAAAGTTCTCTTTTCGTGCGTTTTTTTCTCCTGTGAATGGATAGGAAGAGAAGCCCATTAAACTACATCTACTGCTGAATAATTGCACCCATATTTCAAACAGTGGTCTCATTAAAATTATTTTATGATGGATAATGCCATTTGAGTATTACGTTATCCTTCTTTCTGTCAGAGCACTTTCAGTGTCGTCAATAATCCACAATAAGGCATCACATGCCGATAACTTGTTGAGAATTGGGGGGAAAAATAAAGATTTATTCGAAAGTGCTCGCCATCGTACGTACATGGGCTTTCTCCCTGCATGTCTGCATATGTGGCTAAACAATCGAGTCAGAGTTTGCATGTGTAAGTCGTCAAACATGAATGCAGGAGTTGAGAGTGTGTTCCACTTCACAATCTGGCCGGATTGCAGATGATGCCTCCATTTGGCTGAAGAGAACGAGAGCTTCACTCACCCAAGCTATTCCATTCTTATCTCAGGACTCATTTTATGCCCCGGTCCACAGCCGAGTATGCAACATTATGCTCTGTGTGCAAAACCACGACGGGACGGGAGCGGAGGCAGAAGAGAAAGCAGGACTGACGACAAGTACAACTATTATGAGTTACTATTAAGCAGAAATACTGCGCCTGGTGCTACACAGTAGGTCCTCATAGCCAACCATCACCGCCTCGATCCAGGAATATGGACGTGCTGTTTCTACGTATATAGACAGGCGAGTAAGTAATATGAATATTCCGTGGAACTACCAGCGCCATGTTCTCCTTCAAGGCCTACGAGGGACCAATTTATCCAAGTTTTTGGATAAATCGGGCAAAATTTTCTCCGCTCTTATTATTGGACTAGTTTGGATACGCTCTGCTCCATTTCAGGAACTAATCGGGAACTAATTCTTATTTACTCCGAGAGATTTTATCACACAAGAGACAGTCATGGCTCCGGGATGGTTGGGCAAAAGTGGGCTAGCAGAAGTAGCTCCGGAGCGGAGTCTTGTGTCGGGACGAGTTATGATGCCTATAGAAAAACTCCGACTAGCTTCATGACTTTGGAGAAAGTTATGCAATGATTTCTAAAAGTAATCGTAACTTTCTTCCTCTTTCTGACCCTGAAATCTGTCAGTTTGGGATTGTCTTTGAAGCTCAACTGGCTCTGAGATTTACACTAAATGAACAAAACTTGCTCGGAAAAATAAAACTGCATAAAATTAATGTTTCTACAAATTCAGGAATTAAAGACGTTGGCAACTGACTGACAGGAGGGATGACTCATAGCAAAAAGTTTTCCAAAGGGTGAACAGGTTTTTGTCCGGATTGAATCTGTCTTCTGAATAAATTCATGAAATTGAGAAATACGTAACTAAATTTTCTGCACTGAACAAAACAAGAAAGCAGAAATAAGTACCAGAAATGCGAGGATTTTAGTTTAGGATTTTTTTGGGGGATCTGTCTCATCTATAAAATCGATTTGATTGCACTTTCCCATGATTTATTTTATTGAACTGGCAAATATAATGCCCCACCGCTTCTACTTTCCTCGCATTGAGATTGAACAGAAAAATCCCACACGCGATTTCCTGCATGGAATTGAAGTTGAAAGTAAACGAGTTCTACAATAATTCAATGTGTTCGTATAATTTAGACCTGTGGAAAAGAGTTTTACGCTTGGAAGGAAAACTAATAAAACGGTGTGTGTGTGGCCCAAGTGAGTACTTTATCCATCGCCTCTGGCTGGAGGTGCCTTAACCTTTGGGGAAGTAAATCAAGATTTTGCAATAAAGTATCAACAGTATCGAGGCTTCATTTCCACCTGGGAAAGGCCCCTACTTTTGCTTTTATCCGGGCGAGCCGCTCAACTGCAGGAGACAAGAATCATAATTCTGAGGATCATTATTTCGACTCAACAATGCGAGACGTGTATTTCTCGATGGAACAAGTTCTTCCAGGTTATCAGGAAATTAGTATCGTGCGCACCTTATCCGAGTTGAAAAATAGTAGGTAATCCATATGATGATAATGTTCCCGGGAATTATTTTATGCCCCACGAACAAAGGAAGGCATTGCGTTCTTTAATCTCTACAACACTCCAAAGCAAACTTTGTACTCTGCCCAGCGGACAATCCATAAAATTATTCCTAATTTCCCGTTTTAATTAAGGGGAAAGAGCTCTCTTCATTGTGTATGCATATGAATGCAAATTTTAACCTGGAGGAGTGTTGCATGAACCAACCCTGGCCATTTCTCAACTCATCCACCAGCGAGTTTAAGACATGGACGGAGTGAAAGTACAACTCGGAGAGGTAACAGATTTGCAGATATAATTATTAAAGTGACTTTGCAGACAGCACGAGCAACGGACTTTTGGAATTGAGAGGGAGATAGAGAGCAAAAGTAAATCGATGCTAATTTGATTAGGATAAGAGCAAGTTCCATCAAGACCTACGTTTTGCAACTTCTATTTTCGTTTCAATCCAAAATTGCTTGTTCCTCAAATTTTAAACAGCACTTTCGACTTGCAAGCTGCACATTTTTCATCACTTTTTGCACTCTCGTTTTAATCATATTCCGTCCTCTGCAATTTTTTACCTATCTCCTGTTTATTTAAGCCGTTTATTTGCCCTCGGAGTTGTACGTACAAGCTGCTGCCATCCAGCTTAATAAGTATTCGAAGGAGATAATAAAGGAGATAATAAAGCTGATTATTAATGCTCCAACCCATCCGCACGAAATGCAGTTTGAGATACCGTCGTGGAGGAATAAACTTTGTCCTTCCGTTTCCTTGTCGCATTCCATGCACCTGCATCACCCGTCTCCAGACTGCACCGGTGCATCCGAAGCAGGGGCTCGTTTGAGGGGAAAGTGGATATATAATTAAGAGATAAGGAGAACATGCCGCG